CATTTTCAACTGAAAGTAATCCTGATTGTGGTATAGAGTTGAACTATGTGGAAAATGCACAATACTCCCCCAGCAATACAGTAGAACCCATTAGACTTTAATTTTTAGTRTATTCCAAACCTATATGAGTTTTTTATGTATGTCTGTAAAGTCATGTGTCTGTTTTGCTTTGCAAATGTCTAAAATTCATTTGTAATGTTTGTTGTCCTGTCAGGAAATTTTAATGAAAACCCCAAAGATGACAACTTGAAACCAGATGGCACAACAGCTCCAAACAGCAATGAGCTGGGAGACAGCTGGGAGGTGCCTGACCCTCGACCTGAGTGAGTCCACATTAGCATTATTAGGTCCTTATTGATTCTCTTCTTMTTATTCTGCTCACTGATCTGAATTAGTGAAAGAAAGAAGTCAATATTAAACCTGAAGACAATGAAAATTTCAGTTTTTAATTCATGGAAAACTTGAGCCCAGGTGGGTCCTGAATACTCAAATCAATTTTTTTTCATCTGATGGGGCAGATGAGTGTTGACGACTGATGATCCAATGATTACTATCAAGTCATTTTTTGTGCTGGTAAAAAGAAACTACCTGCTGCATTCAGTCATGGTCCATGGTTTCTGCAAGTCATTAAAAAGTATTAAAAGTAAATAAATGCATTTATTTGAAACCAGTACCTTGAATGGAATTAAAGCATTAAATCTGAACCTCATTGGGAATAAATATTTTCCTTTGTCTTCAGAAAAACTGAGGAGCAATTGTTGAAACCTCAGCTGGACATTTTTTTAACCTCAGTTGGACATGTTTATCTCCCACATAGCAGAATATGAGTGAATCAACATTGAAATATGGTTAGGCMTGAATATTGAATCTTTGTTGTAATTTTATAAAAAGTGGTTGGTGACTTACTTGTTAAAACAATGTTAGATGTTCAACCATAACTGATACCATATAATATTGATTCAACATTGATTAGACATTGGCATATCAATCATTAGAATTCAACCATGAAACATTGATTCAACAACATCTTTTCAACATTGATTATTTGGCTAGAATTGAATGAATGTTTGATGGTTGATTCACCATCAATCATTGACCTTAATCAAAATTCCACTTTTTTGACCATAATTCAATAATGAATTAACATMTTTTGCTATCTGGGCTGGGTGATCGATTATTTTTACTTGAGAGTCACATGTGGAACTACTTTAATAATTGCTTGTGGCCGTCTGTGATGATCGCAGGACGAGTCTCGCGTAAAGGTCAAAAACAAAATTTTAGGAGCACGTCCACAAAAAATTCAAACAATTTTTCAAAAATTGTTCAAGTTGCATGTTGTATATTCATTCTACCCTGTAAAAAATGGTTCAAATAAGTCATTAAAGCCTAAAGGTAATCTGATATGCATGTCCATAATGTGTGCATGGAAACGTCTGTCTGAAACTGTATGATGCTGTGGTCAGAATTGTTTCTATGTGCTGACTGATCATCATCTTTGTGTGCTGTAACATAATAACTGATGTTCCACATGCTTTCCAGCTGTACTAATGGAGGAGGGCAGGAAGACTGTGACAAACAGGTGGAGGAGGAGGCCAAGAAACCCACCAGCTGTGGAATCATCACTGATCCCAATGGTGTGACTCTCACACACACAAAGTGCAAGATGCTTTAGCTCTTGTCTAGTTCAAACTAAGGTCTTTAAAAACTCTGCTTACCCAGGATGCCTGTTTCATCAATACTTTCTGATCTATTCTTCAGGGATCTTTAAGCCATGCCACTCGGTTGTTCCCCCGCWGTCATTCTTTGAAAACTGTGTGTATGACATGTGTGCCACGGGAGGTCAGACTGTGGCTCTGTGCCAGGCCATAGAAAGCTACGCTGACATGTGTGCTGCTGCAGGAGTTCCTATCTCATGGAGGAACAACACCTTCTGTCGTAAGTCTGCCTGTGATGCACTGTATACGAAATCACTGAAGCATTACTGTGGATTTAACAGCAAAACATTTTTAGTTAGGACAAAAAATGTTAGGTGTGGGGTGATTGTTTCTTCAGGTTTTAACTCATGCAAAAACCATGTCAGAATACACCAACATACTATATGTGATAAAATAGAAAACGTTGTTTTATGTGAAAAGTTTAACAAAGATCTACAAGCAAGATGTTAACAAATGCTAGCAGCTTGTAAACACTCCTGGCAGGTTCTATTTTTCTTCTGCTAACAAGCAAAACCTGCAGAACCTGTTTCCTGTAGCTGAGGAAAGACACAGTGCTGCCTATAAAAGGAAGAGAATGATTACTGCTCAGTAACATCTTGTTTATATTACAAAGCTCAGTTCAAATCTAACTTCAAACTGCTGCTAATATATAAAGCTAATGAGGTGCAATAACCACATCTTCTGGTTCTGCGGAACTGCTGCTGCTCAATGAAGAGAGAAAACTCTGAAACRGGCTGGTTGAACAGYAAGAATCTTTATTTTGCAGTCCAGGAGATTACTGTCAAAAACCAAATTATGGCCTCCAAGCCAAATGATTCACCAAGTAAGAAAGATGAAGTACGAAGGCCAAGGGTAGGGGCGTACAAGCCTTTTTATAGATTGCACAGTGTAGTTCAACAGAGGCATCATAAATTTTGTCACGGTATACCTTAAGCATTCCTCTTCCTAATATGGTAATATGTGCCGAGCTCTGAAGCTGGCAAACCAAGAGATGTAACACATCTGTGCATTCATGAGAAGAGGCCCCCACTCTTGGACACTACACTAATGATGCTAAAAWTCTAACCAAGATTCCATGTATGAGTTTCATTGATAGAAAGTGAACAATCAGGATATGTTCCTCCTGCAATAAGAGTCCTATCAGTCTCTGGTAGAAGTCATGATGCTTCCTCAGTTTTCATTGATTGTTTTCCTTTTTTTTGTCTCTCTCAGCACTGAAGTGCCCCGCTGGCAGTCATTATGACCCATGTGGCCCTGCTTGCCCCCAGCCCAGTTGTCAGGACCCTGCAGGCCCTGGAGGCTCTTGTGATAAGCCCTGTGTGGAGGGCTGTGTCTGTAACCCAGGCCTGGTTCTTAGTGGAGACAAATGTGTCTCCATCAATGAATGTGGGTGCACTGACGAAGATGGAAAATATCGTCCAGTAAGCAAACATACATGCATACATACATACATACATACATACATACATACACACACACATACCCACCCCACCAGCCCAGTGCCTACTAATATAGGAAATAAGACACATTATATGTGAAAATATAAATGTACTGTATATACTGTACACACAGGCAAAGCTACATTTCTTTGGTTGTCAGGCTAGAAAGTTTGGTGATAATTTCAGCTTCTGGGTTATCTATCAATGCCTTGATGCTCCCCAGCATCTCATGTTCAGCATCCATCATTCCAGAAAAATCTAGATCTGGCATCTGAAGATGACTCATTGCCAATAATAAGACTCCTTTTTCAGCCCCAAAATAACTTGTTTTTGTACATCTTGTACATTTAATCTACATAATCCCTCTAGGCTCTGTCTTTAGAAAATGCAATTTATTATTAGTTTTTTTTACTATGCACTCAAATAAAGGCTCGGATGGCTTCAAATTTTCTAAATTGCAGTGAGAATACATGTGAAGCTTTTATTGTTGGTCCTAACACTACAGATCTGAGAAGTGTGGACTTGTGTTTGTCATTCATTGACTAGGAATGGGATTCTAGCYATTACATATCACATGGATTATTGTAACTCCGTACGACGGCATTAGCCAGGCCAACCTTTCTCGACTGTAATTAGTTCAGATGCTGCATCTCACCATTTAACTTGAACAAAAAAGCATAAATCCAACGCCAGCTTCCATTCATTGACTGTTTGCTCATTTTAGAATTGATGTAAAAGTTTTATGGATAGTCTATAACGCCTTGAATGGACAGGCGCCTCCGTATCTGTCTGAACTCTTGCATCCTGATTTGCCCTCCAGATCTCTTCGACCTAATGATCATTTTCTTTTTCTTGTCCCGAGATCCAGGCTGGTTCATACAGGTGATCAGGAATGTGGAACTATTTGCACCTTTATATCAGAAAGGCTTCAACTCTTGAAGATTTGACGTTTCATCATTTAATTGTTTTGTGCAGCCCTGTCACCGGCAACAGTATTTGTATATTTGTGCTATGTAAAAAAAAAATGACTAGATCTTATACCTGTGCAGGTTGGAGACTCTTGGTTCACAGAGATGGACTGCTCAGAGCGTTGCAAATGTCTTGGAAATAACAACATCACCTGTGAGCCATGGCAGTGCAGCCCCGCGCAGGAGTGCAAGGTGGTAGAGGGGGTTCTGGATTGTCACTCTACAGGTAACCTGGACCACAGYCTCACTGCACAGACTCACTAAGACTAAAACAAAGTTTCCCTGCACATGCAGCTGAATGACAAACTTGTTGCAGTTGAGAACACTTCTTTTCTCATCACTTCTTGTAATTTCCCCCATTACCTCCTGTTGTCTCCCCCCCTCACTTTCCCCCATAGGCAAGGGAGTGTGTCATGTAGCAGGAGACCCACACTACTACACTTTTGATGGGGTGATGCACACATTTATGGGGACCTGCACCTACACACTGGTGGAGGTAAGACATTTCTCTGAATTTTATTCCAGACAGTCATGAAAAGTTAATACACAAATCTTTCCTCACATTTATTAACAAAAAACGAGCTGGAAACATGACTGATACAGTAGGTTCTGCTTGACTGCCATACTGAATGAAGACACTTGGAGAAAATAAGTTAATAATAACATTTTTATTTATTTCTTAGTTTTTATTGGACAGTAATGTTTAAACAACTGGTTGAAACGCTATGCCAGAATAATCAGAGTATAGCTATGTGGTGGTGAACACTAGGTCCTAAAATATATCAAGGTCCAGAGTTCCCTTGAAGGTTTTTCTAAGGCTGCCGACAAACTAGACTGTTTGTTCAGTTGGGGGTGTTTATGTGACAAACCTGGAACTCTTCTAACAAAAAGTTTGCCATTTTATTAACTTTTGTTTTGAATTTTACAAATGCACYTTGTTGTTGAAGAAAGTTAGGCCTCTATGTTTGTCAATGATTTCAGTATTTTACATCTTTCTATGTTTGTTCTTTGCACACAAATATATAGTCCCAACACACAGGAGCCAGATTGCTACAACATTCAGACAATGATTCAAAGACACAGATAAGATATACTCTTTCATTCCAACTAGACAAATGCCACCCCACGTCGTCAGTATCACAGTTCATAACAGCACTGATATATTTCAGAAAATTGTCCTTACCAGCATGCGGCCATACTCCGATGACTCTGGCATTTAGTCCTGAATTTGTTTGCACACGTAAAAATTGTGTTATTCTTGCATTATTTATTTCAAGTGTATTAACAGCAAACTAAATCACACAAGCATTACTCCACAATAAGGCAATAGTGTTTCATTAGTCTAAAGAAGAGCTCAAAATGTCCTTCTGAACGGAAGGAAACACTGATGGAGTTCTGGAATTTAGTTCCAGCTGTCCYACCAGAATTGGCCTCTTTCTGAGTGTTTTGTTAAAACTCTGTCCAGTGCTTCATAARATATTTTCTTAACAAACACACAGATCAGTCTACACACTCTGCTCAGTAGCTTGTGTTTTGGAAATTTTCAACTCTTACACTGAAAAAGTTGTTTGTGTTTGTTTCTGAATTTTGCAGGTGTGTAATGCCACTCAGGTGACTCCCTTCAAAGTAGTGGCTAAAAACGAGGAGCGTGGTCAACCAGAGGCCTCCTACGTTCGCTCAGTCAAAGTCTTCCTACCTCACGACACCGTGGTTGAGCTGCAGAAAGGCCGCAGAGTTCTGGTAAACTGCTTTGCCTCAGCCTTATTCRTCACACTGAGTCTTCTAAAACAAACCCAGCAAGTTACTGACTTGTTTTCTGACTCGCTGTAGTTAAATGAGCGGCGGGTAAAAACTCCTCTTTCCATTGACTTGGTGGGAGCCAAAGTGATAACCAGTGGATCCTACAGCCTGCTGGACACAAACTTTGGTCTGCAGGTGAAGTTTGATGGAGTACATCACCTGGAAATCACTGTTCCTGGAGAGTACTTTAACAAGGTACAAACACAACTGTTTCACAACTGGCAGTTTCAGTTGTTTAAAGCTTTTAACCAATTTCAACCTTGTCCCACCTGTCTTTATTTTGTTCTAGTGTGTTCTATTGTGTTTTATTCTCTAATTATTTCAGTTGAACAGTTGCAGCTGTAATAATTTCCCTCGGGGATCAATAAAGTATTCTGATTCTAATGATTCGTATTCTCCAGGTGTGTGGAATGTGTGGAAACTACAACCACATTGACTCTGATGACAACCTGATGCCCAACAAGAAACCCGCCAAGGATTCCATTGAACTGGGAAACAGCTGGAAATCAGAAGGAGACAGTGATCCTGGGTCAGTGACCTACATTATGTGTGCTTACTGAACTGTTCCATCTGACTAATGTGTAGCCAGCTAGAAAAATCAACATTTTGTGAAAATGTGAAATGAGAAAATGTAGTGTGAATGCTAAGCAGTAAATGACCTGGCTGAAATTTGTTGAATAAGTTTAAACTGAATTATTCAGTCAAAAATTTCAACAATATGAACAAAATCGTAATTTGGCAAAACACAAACTGAAAACTGAACTCTGCTGAACTTTAGCTAAAAACTAAAACCAGTAGAAAAAATTGCTAAAAGCTAAAATCAACAAAAGTTAAGTTAAAATGATCAAAATAAAATCTCATTCAACTTTTAAAATGAGAAAYAAAACCAAATCATTCAATAAGTATAAAAGTACCAAAATCATAACCCTAATGGTCTGAATTAAATTAATCTTATGAGCTGCTTCATGGAAGAAGAACCTCAGCTTAGCCTGTTAGCTTTAGCATTAGCCCTGACACTATCACCATATATATGTATTAGCTCAGTGCTACACATTCTCCTCTTGTCACTGAGGTCCTCCATCCACATGACAGAGAGGGGAACACAGAAATGACTCAGTCTGCAACTGGAAATATGGATGGAGGACCTCAGTTTAGATTGTTTGTCGCGCTAGCGCTGAGCTAATACATATAAAGCAATGTAGTGTCAGCGCTAGCGCAAAGGGTAACAGGCTAAGCTGAGGTTCTTCTTCCRTGAAGCAGCTCTGTTGTCCTCCTTCCATATTTTCAGTTACAGGCTGAGTCATTTCTACCTTCTCCTCTCTGTCAACGCTCTCTGGTTTCATTTAAAAGTTGATTGTCAGACATTGTCCAAGATTAACCTTCAGGGTGGATATGGCTCACTCACACCGAGGACCTATCCACGTCATTGTTTACCCAGAATGCTTTGCATGTAAATAAAATGGCCCCGTCAGTGTTAAAATACATTTTGAAAATTTACAGAACTAAACAGCCTAAAGTATTTTTACAGTCTTTATTTTACAGTTAAAATATATGTTTATCAAATAAAGTCTGATGTTACAGCTAATCGGGGATCCCTTTAACAAAACGTTCCTACCATTATTTGTGAACAAGACATCCAGATACTTAAACTCACGGGAGGCAGAGACTTGCCTTCAATCTGGAGGGGGCATTAAACCCTTTTTTGTTTGATAACTATGGCCTTAGACTTAGTAGAACTGACTCACATCCGAGCTGCTTCAGTTCATTCRGCCACTTCATTCAGTGGCAAACTGCCCCAGTGCACACTGAAGTTCTTGGCCTGAACACGCCAATAGAACCATACCATTCGCATAAAGCAAAGACATAACTCTGTAGTTCCCAAACCAGACACCCTCCTTTTCATGAATGTGCATTGAGATTCTGTTCATAAACACTACAAAGAGGATCCGAGACTAGGGACAGCCCTGCAGAGTCCAACCAGCACTGGGAATGAGCTTGACTTTGTGCCAAGAATGTGAACACAGCTCCTGCTTTGGTTATACAGGGACTGGATCTCTCCTAATAACAAACCACACACTATATTCCTGCAGCCCCCACCCCACTCCCCACCCAGAGTGCCTCAAGGAACACAATCAAAAGTCTTCTCTAGGTTTACAAAACACATGTAGACCAGAGAGGCAAACTCTCATGGCCTCCTTAGCAAGGACAAAGATCTGTTACACAACCTTGACGGAAGCCACASTACTCCTCTTAAATCTGAGGTTTGACAGTCAATTAGAGCCTTCCTTCCAACACTCTGGAGTAAACATTCCTGGGGAGTGTGAGAAGTGTGATCTGAAAGTAGTTAGAACACACTCTCCTGTCCCCATTTTTAAAAATGGGAATCACCAMCCCGGTCTGCCAATCCACAGAAGTAGTCCCAGTCCTCCATGCAATGTTGAAGAGATGTGTCAAGCATGACAGCCCCACAACATCCAGACCCTTCCGTTTCTTGGGGCGAGTCTTGTCCATCCATGGCGCCCTGCCACCAGGGAGCCTTTTGACTTCCTCTTTGACCTCTGCCAAGGTAATGAATTTTTCTTCCCCCAAGTCTTCAGATTCTGCCTCCTCAAATGTGGACATAGAGGGAGGATTGWGGAGATCCTCAAAGTGTTCCTTCCATGTCTCAATAATATCCTCATTCCGGGTGACCAGTAGTGGTGTAAGAAAATATCGATACACTGAAATATCGCGATATTTCATTTCCCGATACTGTATCGATATTCTAAAGCCCTGTATAGATTTTTTATTAAGGTTTAAAATGTCTACTTTCCTGCCAGCCATTCATTTTTATGTTGTAGTTCAGCCTCTGACCACTAGTTGGCAGTATCGCAATATATCGGGATATATCGTATCGTGACCCCTCTGTCATGATTTGTATCGTATTGCCAAATTCTTGCCAATACACAGTGGCCAGTTCCCTGGGACACGGCATGCTTTCTTTAGTTGCTGAATGTTTTGCCAGAACCTCCTCAAGGCCAACCGAAAGTCCTTCTTAATGGCCTCCTCAAATTCCTCCCATGCCTGAAGTTTTGCATCTGCAACCATGAAAGCTGTGGCTCTTCTGGTCACACTGTACCCATCAGCTGTTTCAGGTGTCCTCTGGGAAAGCCATGTCCTGAAGGCYGRCCTYCTTCTTGATGGCCTCCAYCACTGCTGGTGTCCACCAGCAGGTCTATTGKTTGCTGCTGCAACAGGCACRGATGACCTTCAGGCCACAGGTCCTAGAGGCTGCATCTGCAGTGGAGGCCCTGAACACGGCCCAGTTGAATTCCATGTACCCGACCTCCCTCGGTAAATTTAAAAAATTCTCCCGGAGGTGAGCGCTGAAGATCGCATGGACAGGGGACTCACATTCACTATGCGTTTGGGTTCAACACGTCTGTCTGGAAGCCTTCCCCACCACCGGATCCAACTCACCACCAGGTAGTAATCAGGTGACTGCTCTGCCCMTCTCTTCACTTGATTGTCCAAGACATAGGAAATAGGAATGCAGCTCAGATGATACAATAACAAAATTGATCATCGACCTTTGGCCTAAGGTGGCCTGGTACCACGTACACTTATGGACCACCATATCCTCCCACATGGTATTCGATATGGAAAACATGTTTCTTAGCACAGAAGTTCAATAACAGAACACCATTCAGGTTCAGATCAGGGAGGCTGTCCCTCACTATCACCCCCTTCCAGATAACKCTGTCATTGCCCATATGGGCATTGAAGTCACCCAGCAGAACAAGGGAATCCCCAGATGGTACCCATTCCAGGACACTWTCCAAAGACTCCAAAAAGGCCAGGTAATCTTAACTGATGTTTGGTGCATAAGCACAAACAACAGTCAGAAACTTCCCTCTTACAGCATGAAGCTRCAGAGTGGCAACCCTCTAGTTTACCAGAGAGAACTCAAACACTGAGTCCTACAGCTGGGRGCTTGTGAGTATCCCCACATCTGCCTGACRCCTCTTTCTGGGAAACTCCAGAGTAGGAGAGAGTCCAGCCCTCTCCAGAAGKTTRGTTCCAGAGCCCAAGCTGTGAGTAATGATGAATCTAACCACAGTATATCTAGCTGGTAAGGATCAGCCTCATGCACAAGCATGGTTCCATGGTTCTGACAGGCACTCACCAGCAAACTCCAATGGCAGGCCTGGTTCCAGGGAGGTGGCCTGGTTTCCCTTTTCTAGGCAAGGTTTCTGGGTATGGTTGCTGGTCCATTTCATCAAGGGTTTTGRATCATTCTTAGGGTGACTCCTTCCTGAGGCCTGYTTGTCATGGGAGACTTTCCAAGGGGCTAATGCCCCAGACAACATASCYCCAAGGATCACTGGAGTACTCAGACCCCTCCACGACGTTAAGGTGGTGATTCTGCCATGGGTTATTCCCCCTATGACATAAATATCATATCACATCATATCATACTACTACATCAAATTTTTAAAAAATGTTTGATTTGAGCTGCATAAACAACAAAAACAAACTTTCACTATTACTTCTTATACATGTACCATTTTTTTTCTCTGTAGCTGTCAGCCAGACACTCGTCCAGATGTGCATCCTAACTGCACTGCAGAGGAGGAAAAGTTGTAYGAAGATCAGTGTGCCCACATCATCCTCTCTGACCGCTTCCGTCCCTGCCATTCTCTGGTGCCTCCTAATGCCTTCTTGGGTAACTGCATCTATGACATGTGTGAGTACAAYGGCATGCAGGCGACCCTGTGCGACAACGTGGAGGCCTACGCTCAGGCCTGTCAGAGTGCTGGAGTTACCATCAGCTGGAGAAACAACACCTTCTGTCGTAAGTTTCACTCACACTGACAGTTCAAAGTCCAGTTAGAGTATACTGGTGTTAYATGCCATTCTCTTCCTTCCTCACAGCTGTGCCATGCCCTCCAAACAGCCACTACTCTGACTGCACAGCACCCTGCCCCCCTACATGCTCTGACCTCTTCCCCATTTTCTGCCACCTCCCTCCAACCACATGCGTGGAGGGCTGTGAATGCAACGCCGGCTATGTTCTAAGTGATAACAAATGTGTTCCTCTGGACAAATGTGGCTGCCTGGATTTAGATGGAGAATATCATGATGTGAGTTCAAACTTTTGTAACTGGATGATGGGAACTACTAGGAAGATCAATTCATTTAATTTATAAACAGCATCAAATCACAACAAACATTGTCTCAAGTCACTGYACAAAAATCAGTCTAAGGACGCCATCAGATTGTGTTGAATTAAGATTTAAAAAGATTGATTTATTATAAATATTTTTATTATAATTATAGGCCTAGCATTCCCGAGCATCCGCCAGTTCTAATGGCTTATTCAGTGATAATTTAATGAACGTTCTGTTCTAACGTTCTGTTACACTTTATAACTTTGCACTTTATAAAATTATAAAATTTAGTCTTAAAGGGAGCCAATTGGCTCCCTTTAAAATTTATGGAGAAGGTTTTAGTTTGAAAAAAAAAATTAGTGCTGAGCATAGATTAAAAATTGTAATAGCGATTAATCTCAAGGTATTTTTGCGATTAATCGCGATTAATCTCACGTTTTTTCTTTTTTCTTTTTCCACAAACTATCACTTTGCTATGGCTGAATATGTAGGTTTGTATATTGCAATACACTCCATGTGTAACGCATTATGCACAGTTTTGTCTTTTTATCTTCTCATGGCTTATTTTATTTTATTTATTTATGTTTTGCTGACAACTGTGACCTTAGTATCAATCTTTCATTCCTCATGTAGTACTCATTTGGAATGAAAATAAAAATTGAATTTTTGATTTAACCTCATTATTCTGCACAAAATTTAACTGACTCAAAGATGTTTGGAGCATTTGAGGTCCTGTTTTATATTTAAAAAGGGGCAATGCATTAAAAAATTTAAACAAATAAAGCAAAGCAAGCCGATTTTACTTTTTTCTTTTTTTCCCCATCACCATTCTCAACCTCGTCTGCAGAACCTCCCTCTGTTTACTCTGGTTGTAAACTGAAGTGATGTTTTAGGCTGGAACTGCTCCAGTGGTGAGACAGTTTAGAGYTGCAGAGCTTACAGAGAACTGCACTTCTTTCCAGCCCACCATCGGGAAAAGTTTAAAAATWAAAAATGCCCTGAAGAATCCGCCATGTTTCTGCTCTGGAGTGGTTGCCTGCAGCTTGTTCAGGTTCATGAGGGCGGCTGCGAGTTGCCAAGCAACAGTTCGACAACAAAGGCTCTCATTGGATGAGACGCGGGACAAAGGCCATATAAACCAATAGTGATCAAGATCCCGCCTCTCCGCCGTGACCACTGAGTTTGTGTGTCTGTGTGTGTGTTAGCTRCCCACTGAACAGAGATCCGACGGAGAAATATTAATAAATCAATAACTGCGTTAACGCTCGATAAAAAATTATCTCTGTTAAGTGTCCACTGCGTTAACGCGATAACGCAGATAACGTGCCCAGCACTAAAAACAATATAAAGTTTTGCATAAATCTTTTAGCACCGCCAATGGAAATATATCCCTTTAGCATTAAAGAACAGAATTAAGTTTAAGATTTTCCTTTGTTCATGAAACAGCACTGAAAACAGAGAGACACTGAGGAGTATATACTGTAAATCCAGTGTGTTTGTGTGTAGGTGGGAGACTCGTGGCTGACAGATAAATGTGCTGAGTCATGTTCCTGTAACCTTGGTGGAAAGATCACATGTAAGGACCACAGCTGTACCTCAAACTCAGTTTGTGCTCTGGACAAGTATGGAGACTTGTACTGCCTACCCACCAGTGAGTCCAACACTTGTATGAGACAAAACATGAAACTATCAGTGAAAATGAGCTGGTTTTGACATTTTGTCTCCATCATTGTCTTCTCTAGAGTTTGACAGGTGTAGCATCTCTGGGGACCCTCACTATCGAACATTTGATGGGTTCACGCATCACTTCCAGGGCCCTTACACCTACGTCCTGACTCAGGACCACAATCTGCCAAGCAACCTGGCACCCCTGCTGGTGAGGGGGAAGAATATTAGGCGAGGGGGCAACAGCAAAATTTCACTTCTGGATCAGATGTACATTGATGTCTACAATGTCGACATTCGCTTCCTGCAGAAGAAAGTTGTTCTGGTCAGTGGTTTTTCTGTCTCTAGTTTTCATCTTTGTGTTGTTTCTTGTGATAAAATTKACCTTTGACTGTGTCTGCTGCAGGTGAATGGGGAGCGAGTCACACCTCCTATCAGTCCAGCCAGCGGCTTATCAATTACTATGAACTCAAAGCAGGTCCAGCTCACCACCGACTTTGGACTTACTGTACGCTTTGATGGAAACAACCGTGGAGGTAAAACCTATTAAAGCATGTAAATGAGTCTTTTTTACCTTTGTGTCTTGGTCCGCTTATTTCTTTCTCCACCAATCAGAGGTCATACTCCCCAGCACGTATAGGAATTCTGTCAGAGGACTGTGTGGGAACTACGATGGTATCACCAGAAATGAGTACATGAAGCCCGATGGAACAGTGGTCCGGGACCTGAATGTGTTTGGAGAAAGCTGGAGGGTTAGTGACCGACAGACTGATGGACCGAAAATGTCTGACCTCCGTTCTATTGTCCACGCCCACAGGTAGGTCACTACAGCAGTCACTGCTGTCACGTACACCTGGTTTCAGGTWGTAGATAGGTTCAGAATTAAACTTATAAACATTCTTCGAATTTGGAAGGTCGGGGCTTTGACTACTGTTAACTGAGACTTTTACTTTTTACACACTRTTAGCAGGGAGACTGTCTGATATAGCAGATCTGAAGGACCAGAGGATTGTATACCAAATATGGGTTTAGAAAATTTTTCAGTTATTTTGCTAAGCTAATCATAACAATGGCTATATAACAAGCAATWCTGCCAGCTCTGTAAGGTCCTCTTCACACTGGATGATGAGCCTGCTACACTTTCCACATCTTACATGACCAATAAGAATCACCCTCATAATTTCCTCCTCAGGTAACACTCAGCTTTTTGTCCTTTCCTGTCTGTTTGTAGACGAGAGGTGGAAACTGATCCAGACTCTGGATTTGAGACATCTGACTGTTCTCAGTCTCAACTCAATGAGTACAACAGTGTGAAAAAGTGTGGAGCTCTGTCTGACCCAATGGGACCGTTTGCTGCCTGCCACGCCACTTTACCACCTGCAGCCTACCAGGAGTCAGTACTCTGTTTGTGTGTGTGTAAAATGTAATGTTGGGAGCTCTGATTTAGTATTAGGACTACTCTGTGGAGACAACAAACAAACAAACAAACAAACAAATAAATATGTAGGAGAATAATTCATTTTAGTTGAAATGTTGAAACCAGGGAAAAACACACAATATTTACAGGTTTTGTTTTGTTTTTTCTTTCAATATAGCTGAAGAATTGTTTTTTTTTAATAAAGTCAGAATTTTATTTAGAAAGAAGTGAGATCTGAAGAGTCAAAATATTGATTACAGAAAGTCAAAACTGAATGTGCAAAATGTGTGAAATATATTTATGGACTGACTAAAAAAAGTAAAACATTTGTAAATAAAAATTTATTTATAAGAAAAAAAGTTTAAATTTACAGAACA